TAAGGTTAAAATCTTCATTACGTGGATACCATAAGCATAGATTCGTAGTTCCTTTGAGATATTTGAGGATCCTTTTAACCGCTTTGAGATGTGACTCCTTAGGATTTGCCTGGAACCGAGCGCATAGACCTACACTGAAAACTATGTCGGGTCTACTGGCAGTTAGGTATAGTAGAGACTCAATCATGCCTCTATACTTCTTTTGGTCCACGCTTATTCCCTGTTCGTCTGCATCCAATCGTTCATTTGTTCCCATAGGTGTCATCATTGTTTTGCCTTCACTTGCTCCATACTTCTTGAGAAGTTCCTTAAGGTACTTTTGTTGAGATATTTGGGTTCCTTTGCTTGTTTGTTTGATTTGTAGACCAAGGAAAAAGTTTAGTTCTCCCATCATACTCATCTCGAACTCGGAACAAGAAAATTCATCACACAGTCAATCGTTAGTAGCACCAAAAATAATATCATCTACATAAATTTGAACAACCAATAGAGCTTGATCTTTTATTTTTAGAAACAGAGTTTTATATATGTTTCCTCTTTCAAAACCATTTTCCAAAAGAAATTTAGATAATCGCGCATACCAAGCACGACGTGCTTGTTTGAGACCATAAAGTGCTTCATCTAATTTGAAAACATGATTAGGAAAATCTGGATTTTCAAACTCCGGTGGTTGTTATATGTATACCTCTTCCTTAAGATAACCATTCAAGAAGGCTGTTTTCACATCCATTTGATGGAGTGTGAATCGCATGTGAGCCGCAAATTCTATGAGCATTCGTATTGCCTCTAATCTTGCCACTGGTGCAAATGTTTCGTTGAAATCTATCCATTCTTGTTGGTTATAGCCTTTTACAAAAAGCCTCGCCTTGTTCCTTGTGATTTGTCCATGTTCATCAAGCTTGTTCTAAAATACCCATTTGAGACCTATCACAGTTTTGTTCTTAGGTCTTGGTTCTAGATGCCACACCTTGTTCCTTTCGAACTGATTTAGTTCTTCCTGCATAGCTAGAACCCAGTCAGCATCGGAGAGAGCCACTTCATGGTTCTCCGGTTCTATAAGAGATAAATAAGCAAAGAAAGCACAAAAATTTCTAAGTTTAGATCTAGTAGTTACTCCCTGATTTAGATCTGTTAAGAGGTTATCCAGGGGATGTGATCGATGATGCTTCCACCCTCTTGGAGCATTTGGTTGATCCACCGATTCGTGTAGAATATCTGAAACTGGTTCTACAGGCTGACTGGCTGAAGTCTGTCCAGCTTCTTCTTCAGTTCCAGACTCTTTATCTTCATTGGTCAGTGATGGTTCTCCAGATTGGTTAGTGTCATGGTCAGTTCCACTTTCTCTTTGAGGTTATATCTCCTTGCGTGTCATTCCTATTTCTTCATCATCGATTTGGCTTGGTCTTAAGGCAAGTGCTTCATCAAAGATTACATGGATACTTCCTTCCACACATTGTGTGAGTTTGTTTAGAACTTTGTAAGCTTTGCTATGAGTTGAGTATCCGAGGAAGACTGCTTCATCACTTCTTGCATCGAACTTGCCAATGTTGTCTTTCCCATTGTTATGAACAAAACATTTGCATCCAAAAGTTCTTAAATGACTAATGTTGGGCTTTCTCCCTTTGAGTAGTTCGTAGGGTGTCTTCCCTAGGAGTGGACGGATCATAGCACGGTTAATTATATAGCATGCCATGTTTAGTGCTTCTGCCCAAAAGTTTCTTGCTAGACCACTGGAAATCAGCATTGTTCTAGTCATGTCCTCCAGAGTTCTATTCTTCCATTCTACTACCCCATTTTGTTGAGGAGTTCTAGGGGCAGAGAAGTTGTGGTCTATGCCTCGTTCCTTGCAGAATGCATCAAATAGTGAGTTGTCAAAATCACTTCCATGATCTGATCTGATCTTGATTAATTGTAGCCCTGTTTGATGTTCAACTTTCCTTACAAAAATAACAAACTCATTAAAAGTATCTTTCTTGCTTGCAAGAAAGATAGTCCAAGTATATCTTGAAAAGTCATCAACAATAACTAAAACATATTCTTTATTTCCTCGGCTACGGACTGACATTGGACCACACATTCGTTCGTCCCAAAAAGAACTTCACTTTCCCTTTTTGGTAAAGAATTTGTGGTTTACATCATTTCTCTCTCCTCTGCACAACTCTCCACCACACAATTCTCACTTTCTTGATCACCGTGCAACTTTAATTTGGAAGAACATTTAGGGACGGAGGGAGTATAAATTTGGTGTGAGCCCCTTTACTAAGAAGTCATTGAAATTACCATCCAATTGAGTCAAAATATGAGAAAATTCATTAAGAGCAATACTTGTACAATCTTGCTCCTCATTACAAGTAATGACACTTAGCTTGTAAAGTTTTTGAAGTTAATTGAGTTTTAAGGATTTTTAAGAGAAATCTAACCATCTGCAACTCATTCATTATAGAGAAGCAGGTCAGTGAAATAAAAAGCTAAAAATCGAATGGACAAAAACTGAACCACAATTAAAATAAACTGAATTCCAAAAATAAGTTTAGGTTGGAAATCAATGTATGTATATTTTTCAAACTGAGTACATCGAAATTGGAGCATTCCACCATAGCCTAAGGTCTTGGTCGATTATTAAGAGCCCGTTTGGTAAGCCTGGTTTTTTGTTTATTAGGCTTATCAATCAACTTTTTCACCAAACACATAACTTTTGATTTCGCGCGCTGAATTGTGTAACAATAAGAAAAAGTAAGGTTGAAGTTACTTTTCTGACTGTATTGGTTGAAGTTATTGTAGAAGATCATTTTAGCTATTTTTTAATATATTTTTTTCTTTATTTTATTAATAAAATATCAGCAGAATCAGCCAATACAGTCACTTCAGCCAGAACTTCATAAATATCAGTCGAAACAGCCGTTTCAGCTGATTTCAGTGTTATCAAATGGGTTCTAAAACAACGCTGATCAAGGCGTAACATGGACTATGTCGTACATCGTTCATAAGGCTACACAACTGACACAGTGTTTAATTACATCACTATGTAGCTACATTCACTTATTCACGTAAAATGTTTGATGTACCTCTTAAAGTCCCACATCGGAAAATTATGAAGTAATAAAGTGTTATATTAAGACCTATCAGGTTGATCTTTTAGGATGAAACCTTAAAGATTAACATTACCAATATATGTAATAAGCTAATTATTTACCAGTGTTATTTCCTGCATATTCACATACAAGAGAAATTGATTGTTTATGTAAGAAGTGTATAATGTTGATGAATAATGTCGTTCCACATGATTTCGTATGCATGCATGGAAAATATAAATGCAAAAGCATATATATCATTTTGACTTAATCACATAAATAGGAATAAAACATGCCTAAAATCACAAATACGACTGCCATGCTTTAAATTTCCTTAAATAAGACTAATCATATGTATTTGGACAAATATACGTCTATAATTTTTAGTATGAAATAAATATTTAATGATATTAGTTTAAATTGAAAAATAAAAAACTAAAAATTAAAAATTTAAAAACACTTAAATTATTATAATGAAAATAATAAAAAAAACAAAAAAAACTACAGGCGTTTGCCGCCGCCTTTGCCACCCCAACACCACCAGCTCTGATCACCAGAAAAAAATGCCAACATGCATTAGTAATGCCATATTGATGGTAGTTTCGGTGCAAATTTTGGCATTACAAAGAGTACTAATGGCATTTTCTTGATATGTTCAGAAAAATAGTACTCCGTATTCTTTTTACCAAAATGGCACTTTCCTACTGATCGAAGGTGGTCGTGCTGGGAAGCTGTAGAGGCGTGGGAAATGCATCCATATTTTTTAATATTTTATTATGAATTAAAATATTTTATAATGAATTACTACCTTTTAGGGTATTAAGCCTAGAAAATTTATGTTTAGTCCTATTTGTGAATGATTTAGATTTTAGTTCTATTTGTACACGCAATTAAATTTCCGTTTAGTCCTATTTTGCACAATTACTATATTCTTTTCTTATGTATTTGTAGAGTTTTTTTCACTTTCAATCCCTCGACTATTAGGTCAGTGACACTTTTGTACTCGACTTCCATTTTTTTCATTTTTAATCCTCGACTATTGTGAAAGAGACTTTTAATCCCTGGCTTCAATATTTTTCATATTTAGTCCCTTGAGTATTATAAAATTGAGACTCTTAGTCCTTGCACAATGAATTTGACACAAAAGAGTGAGGACTAAAAATGTCAATATTTTAATAGTTGCATAACCAGAAATTTCACTTTTATAAAAATTGAAGGACTAGATGTGGAAATTTTTCAAAGATGGGTATAAAAAATGTCTGTCGCGCAATAGTCGAAGGAGTAAAAGTGAAAAAAATTCAAAGTTGAATAACAAAAATGTCAGTGACATAATAGTCAAAGATTTAAAAATGTCAACAAATCTATATTTGTAAAATGTGGATTATACTTTGCCACCTATATTTTGCACAAATACATACTCCCTCCGTCCCAATTTGATTTGCAAAATTACCTTTTGTGGTTGTCAGAAAATGGTTTTCCACTTTCTATTTTAGGTATGTAAATAAGAATAAAGTGACAAATGTACCCTTACTTTTACTTTTTCCTCATTAACTTAAAGGTATCTACTTTTAGAAAGATCGACAAAAGTGTAAAAAACAAACATCATTTATTGTCATTTTTTAATCCTTGTGCCAGTCAAAGTTTGCAATTCAATTGGGGACGGAGGGAGTATTTCGTACTCCGTATGAGAGACACTGAATGAAAAAAATGACAAAAGAATATCATTTGCTTTCGTGGCGTCTGGACAATTGACGGACAATTATACAGCCCGAACACAAATTAATTTCAATTTTGCTATAGGTACCCCAAACCCTACCCCATTTGTACCCCATATAAAAATCCACCCCCACTTTTCTTCTCCACTCTTCCTCTCTCCTGCACCCCACCTCTCTTCCTCCTTCCCTCTCCTCTTTTCACGCACCCCCCTCCCTTCCCCTTTCTTCTCCATCTCAAAATCTTTCCCCTTCTTTAAGACTTCCCATTTTTACCATTTTCCCCCCTTCCAATCTTGGATCTTCTCCTGCTTATCTTCTCTTCCACCGGTGACGTTGCTGACGGCGAACCTATGCCGGTTGCCAACGGCGGGCCTACGGTGGTTGCTATTTCGGATGCAACCTCAAGGGAAGACAACGATGAAGGCAAACCAAGAAGTTTTGAATAACTTGAGCAACAAATCTTCTTTTCTTGATTTTGTTTTCTTCATTTTTGATGTATTTTCGAAATATAAAGGGTTGTCTGTCACACAGACAACTTGTAAGTGCAGTGTATGTAAGAGTCATGAAATTGCCTGTCATTTGAAAAATAAATGTATATTTAATTGTTTGTCATTTGTTTATTTGTTAGTTGTCTGTATTTGTTTTGAGTTGTAAAGTTGTCTATAACTCATACTTAGTTGTTTGTCATTTCATTGTGAGTTGTATGTAATTTGTGGTGAAAATAATGTCTGTCTGGTTATCTCTATTGTCTGTGTAGTTATGCATATTGTCTGTCTAGTTATGCGTATTGTCTGTGTTCAGTGGCGGACCCACTAAGGGTCCCAAGGAGTCCCGGGACCCCGTGGACCTCGGGAAAAAACCCTATATATATTATATATATATTTTTTAAAATTACTTATTCAATGTATATATAAACACAAAACAACTTAAAAACAATAAAGTTGTTACACCCGAACGGGAACACATCTGGAAGCAAGGTATACGATACGCGAGGTATCAGGTTCGAATCCCATCTCTGAATTATTATTTTTTGGGCCTTTTTTTTGTCTTTAAGGAAAGCCACAGCCCAACTTAAGCCCAAAACAAAAGACCCAACCCAACAAACTCTTCCTCTCTTTCACGCATTCAGCGGGCAGCGGCCCCTTTTCCTTCCTCTCTTTCACGCAGCCGGCAGCCCCCAGCCCCCAACTGGCCCCAAGTCGCCGATCGCCGATTCTGCGTCCCCTGCGCCCTGCGGCCTCCCTCTCCCTGCCGTTTGCCGACCTGCCGCCTGCGTCCCCTGCGGCTGCGGCCGAAGTCCGAAGTCCGAACTGGCGGAACTGCCGAAGTCCAACTGCTGAACTGCCCAAGGTACTTTCTTTTCTTTTCTCCATTAATGGAGTTTCTCAAATCTCAAGCTTTTTGTTGGATTTTCTATATGCTCAAAAATTAGGGATTTCAAATTTCAATTTCTATGTTTAAATTGCTTTTAATTGCTTTTCTTTGCATATCTTTTTTTAATGTTAGATTAAATTAATAAATTCATGTATTTATAAATGTTATTTTCAATTTTATACGATTTAGGATGAAAAGATATTTTGATGTTGTGCCCAAATTTAAAGAAACTCAAAGTACCGGAAGTAGTTCGGGTGTTAATTCAAATGATCCGCCATTAGTAAATGAAGAATTGGATCAAGTAATTGCTTAAAGTGAAGCTAATTTGGCTTATAATCTACCTGAACAACATGAGGATTTTGAATCTTTGGAAGCTGATCCTGGATTGAGAAAAGAATTGCTGATTTTCACCCTAATGTTCAAGACGAGGTACGTCGTAGTTACATTCAAAAAGGACCGTTTCAACCTCGGGACCATGATTTCCCTTTTAAGTTAATTGGAGGCAAAAAACGTAGATTTGTTTCAAGTTGGTTTGATGAGCATAGATGGTTGGAATACAGTATTGCTAAAGATGCTGCATTTTGTTTGCCATGTTATTTGTTTAAGAATGAGTGGGAAGTTGGGGGTGATCATTTTGTGGGAATTGGGTTTTCAGCATGGAATAAAAAAGATAGATTCTATTTACATGTTGGTAAACCTAACAGTCCTCATTACAATGCGGTGAAAAGATTGGAAGATTTGATGAATCAAAAACAAAGTATTGGAGCATGTTTTGTGAAACAATCTGAACAAGCAAAGTCTGATTACCTTATTCGCTTGAAGGCATCACTTGAGTGCACTAGATTTCTTCTTTGTGGGGGTTTGCCATTTCGGGGTCATGACGAATCTATAGAGTCTAGTTATAAAGGTCATTTTCTTGAGACTTTAGATCTTTTGAGACAACATGATTCTGAGATAGATAGTGTCCTAAAAAATGCTCCACAAAACAATCAGATGACTTCACCCAAAATTCAAAAGGACTTGTGTTATGTTTGTGCATTTCTAACTGTTCATGAAATTATTAAGCAAATGAGAGATGATGTTTTTGCTATATTAGTTGATGAATCAGGGGATGTTTCTGGTAAAGAACAAATGGCTATTGTTGTGCGTTTTGTTGCTAGTAATGGTTCTGTTTTGGAGAGATTTATTGGTCTTGTTCATGTAAAAGACACAGTTGCATCATCTCTTAAAGAATCTCTTGAGAACATTCTAACACAATATGGTCTGTGCATCTCAAACATAAGAGGACAAGGCTATGACGGAGCGAGTAATATGCGGGGTAAGTTTGGTGGATTGAAAACTCTAATTCAAAATGAAAATCCCTATGCATATTATGTCCATTGTTTAGCTCATCAATTGCAATTGTCACTTGTTGCCGCTGTTAAAGGACAACATGAGGTTAATTGGTTACTTCTTCATGTTAGTCGTGTAATTAATGAGATCTGCTCATCAAATAAGCGAAAAGAATGCCTTCGAGATAAACAAGCAAGTGATTTGATAAGTGCTTTAGAAGCTGGACTAGTAAAAACAGGAAGAGGATTGAATCAACAATTAGCACTTGTCAGAGCAGGTGATACACGATGGAGTTCTCATTACAAATCATTGCTTAATTTGCAAAAATTATTTAAATCTGTGATTGAGGTGCTCGAAGATTTGGAAGACCATGATAAAAGTGGTGAAACCACTTCATTGTTGAATGAATTGCAAACTTTTGAATTTTGTTTCATGCTTCATTTGATGATCAATGTTTTGGCCATTACACATGATCTTTCACAGGCATTGCAAAGGCGTGAACAAGATCTTGTGAATGCTTTGAAACTAGTCACAGCTGTCAAACAACGTTTAGCGGAAATGAAAACAGATATTGGATGGGGTGCTTTGTTTGATGAGGTTGTTACATTTTGTAACAAATTTCATATAGATGTGCCTTCAATGGATCAGAACTACATCAAAGGAAAAAGATCGAAACGCAGGGCACCGAGTATAACGAACATGCATCATTACAAGTATGATTGTTTACATGAGATTGTTAATTTGTTTGTGGCTGAGCTTGATAGCAGGTTTGATGTGGCAAGCACTGAGTTATTGCGTTGTGTGTCTTGTTTATGTCCTTCCTCCTCGTTTGAAGCTTTTGATAGGGCATCTTTGCTTAAATTGGCAGAATTTTATCCAAAAGAGTTTTCTGACGTTGATCAAAAGATACTCGAGAATCAGCTTGAGAATTATATTTTAGATGTCCGTTCTGATAATAGATTTTCTGATTTGAATGGTTTATTAGATCTTTCAATTGAAATGGTTTCCACGAAGAAGCATCTCACATATCAGCACGTGTATACACTTATTAAGTTATCTCTACTTCTCCCAGTAGCTACAGCAAGTGTTGAACGAGCGTTTTCAAGTATGAAGTTTGTGAAGAATGAGTTGCGCAACAAGATCTGCGATCAATGGTTGAATGATTGCTTAGTTACATATGTTGAGAGAGATGTTTTTGGTACTATTAGTGATGATTCTATTATAGAATATTTCCAACAAATGAAGCCTAGGAGAGTACATCTATAGAATTGTTGAATGACTTTTATATGTAAGTTTTTGCTTTATAATATATCTTAATGTTTTGATGGTGTACGTTAACTTTGAAGTGTTATGCTTCTTTAATATTTTTTTAATTAATTAGAGATCAAAGATATGTAAGGGTAGGGACCCCGTGGCTCCGACTTCCTGAGTCCGCCACTGTCTGTGTTCTTTATGAAACATATTCCAAAATGGTAATTCACAATAAAGTAATATCTGTATGTGTATACTTATTGTCTGGATGTGTATATTTAATGTCTGCCTCGTTATACTAATCACATCTCAAAAAATAAACATCACAAAATACAGACAACTCACAATCAAATACAGACAACTCAAAACAAATACAGACAACTCAAAACAAATACAGACAACTCAAAATAAATACAGACAACTAAAAACAAATAACAAGCAATTAACCTTCGATTACAGACAGACAAACAACTTCACGAGTATCACTAACACATACAGACACTGCACTTACAAGTTGTCTGTCGAACAGATGATTGTTATGTTTTTTAGTGAGTAAAACGTAGTTGGTTAACCCATAGAATTACCAGACCACGGGTATCGTCTCTCAAGGAGTGACAAAAAGGAAGTTTTAAATACAGTCTGTGATCACAGGCTAGCACAAGTCATGGTAATCTTTCCGAATGAATTATTTTCGGGTGATAAAAAAAGTAAACTAACTAACAGCGAGTGCAAAAAAAATAGAGCAAAAAAAAGTAAACTGATTCTAGATATTAAAACAGGGTTCAAATTGGATGGTTCGGGTTCTGGGTGTTCTTTTGGGATTAGAATTAAGTAAATTAATTTTCAATTAATCCTGGATAGATAAAGAAGTCAATTCTCATAGACAAGAATTAAAATAAATTATCACAATCCTAACTTATTTCTAAGGTGAGATTGCTTGGATAAGACTCATGCTAATTTAACTCAATTTCTCATAGACAAGAGTTGAATTAAAACCAGACATTCATATATGAGGTGATCACATTCATATAGACAATTATGACCAATCTTATACAACTTTCCAGAAAATTAATTGAATTTCAAAAACTAAATTCAAACCCTAAAGAACCCATGAACCCTAGCCCCAATTCAAACCCTATATGGAATTAGCTACTCATAATTAAAATTAACATGAATAATATTGATACGAATGATACCGAGCTAGAAATAAAAACTGAAATATGAGTATTTAATGGAAAAATTACTAGTTTGAGACAGATAGATTCGAAATTCAATCCAAAGTATAGAACTAGTAATGTAAAAACTTCTAACACATACAATGCTTGCTCAAAAGCTAAATTGAATTGAAAGAAATTGAAGAAACTGAAGCTTATGCATTTCCGGAGTCTTTTCTTAGTGCTGCGGCTCTTCTACGAGAGAAGAAAAGGAAAATTGCTGCTTGATCTAGTTGCTGTTGCGGCTGAATGAAGAGAAGGACTAAAATGCATGTGTGGCTATCTTCTACCTACGGCTGTTACGAATGAAATCCATGCGACTGCTTTTGTGTTGGGCAGTGAAAGAAAAAAAACATGAACTCGTAGGTGCTGCTGATTGTCAAAGAGCTGAAGGAATGGAAAAAAATCCATGCGGCTAAGTGTGAACAGTGGAAAGACACGAACTAGTGCGGCTAGGGTTAACTCAGGATGAGAAAACCTTACTCTTGCTGGACTTTTTGGGCTGCTTCAGATGAATGCTCTTCTTCTTTTTTTTTGTTGGGCTGTTGTGCCAAATTAATCTTAACACGATTCTCAAAATGTCCGGGCCAAACATAACATGTTAGTCACCGTAAAACTCAGCCTTTATAATCACAACTCACCACATCCGCTAAAAATATGTAATTTACAATCAAATTACTCAAAAAATGTCAAACTGCGTAGAAAAATACTACACTGAAAATGAATGGCACCGGGACCGAAATATTACAAATTTTCATTCAAAACCCCCCAATAGTCACCCGATTAATTATAAAAATTAGAAAATTAACACCTAAAATATGGGTGAAAAGATAGGGACGGAACGAGCCTATCAACAGACAACCCTTTATATTTCGAAAATACAACAAAAATGAAGAAAACAAAATCAAGAAAAGAAGATCCGCTGCTCAAGTTATTCAATGCTTCTTGGTCTGCCTTCGTCGTTGTCTTCCCTTGAGGTTGCATCCAAAATGGCAACCACCGTAGGCCCGCCGTTGGCAAGCGGCGTAGGCCCGCCGTTGGCAACATCACCGGTGGAAGAGGATATAAGCAAGAGAAGATCCAAGATTAGAAGAGAGAAAGATGGTAAAAATGGGAAGTCTTACGGAAAGGGAAAGATTTTGTGATGGAGAAGAAAGTGGAAGGAAAGGGGTGCGTGAAAAGAGGAGAGGGAGGGAGGAAGAGAGGTGGGGTGTAGGAGAGAGGAAGAGGGAAAAGAAAAGTGGGGTGGATATTTATATGGAGTACAAATGGGGTAAGGTACCTATAACAAAATTGAATTAATTTACGGGTAACCAGAGATAGATTTCACATATTTCTATATTAGGCATATAAAAATATCGAAAGTGGTAGCTTTTAAAATTGAAAATTGCTTTTATCGGATAGCTTGAAAGAAACTGGATAACAACATTTGCTGCATTTCACTGTACGCAATGGGTTAAGGTTATATACATTTTGTCTTATTTTAATTGGTCCATTTTACAGTATATTGATTTGTGTGATGACTCTCATCTATCCTATGGATTCAGTAGGATTATAGTACCAATTTAATGTTTTTTGTTACTATATTTACTTCGTCGACCTAAATCACTTTTAATCTTTTTTACATATCAAACTTTTATCAAATTTGTTTTTCTCTTTTGCGACTTTTAATGTAGTTTCTAAATATGTAAATTTTGTTTGCAACACATAATTTGAGTGTGGACAAAGATCTGTTTGTTTTATCATCAATCAAACATCGTAAACCGCAACGAGAACATCAAAATGAGACGGAGGGAATAACTATTTTTAATTTATTTTATTTTGTTTTTGAAACTTGACATAATTTTTTTGGGATTATTAAATATCCAATTTTAGAGAGCGTTTTCTAGATGTAAGATAATTATTCTGCATGCGAAGTGTATGGACATTAATTAAAGGGTTATACAATTTGGCTTGACTATTTAATTTAAGTTGTAGAATAATTTAAAAAAGAGAGAATTCCCTAAATAAGAGTAAAAAAGTTTTTAAATTCCAAAATAGGAGTATCATGTTTTTTATTCCTTGAATAGGAGTAAATTTCTGCCAAGTTTGACATTACTAGGCTTTAAAACATGGCATTTTTTCCCAAATTTGGCAGATTACTTCTATTCCGGGAATAAAAAACATGATACTCATATTTTGGAATTTTAAAACATTTTTACTCCTATTTAGAGCAATTTCTATTTAAAAAAAACATTTCACGCTGATACGAAATATTTTACGGGAGGATCGCGATAAAATACTTTGCATATTTTTTATAAAACACTGCAATTAGTAGCCAAAAAATGTAATGTATTTTACATACAAAAGTGATTGCTTACTTAGAGTTTGAATGGAATCATTTTGCGTGCAACAATTTATCGTGTAAACTACCAAATGAGGAAGAAGATGAAATTGAGAATAATTTAAACACGAACAACATAAGCACTGGAGAAGAAAAGAAAGGAGACATTAATAAAATCAAAAAGAAAAAATGAATGGGCGAATAGGAACAAAAGGAGACAACTTTTTGCACATAAAGCGTACCTACAACATCATCTTTTACGGACTAGAGTAACATGTGATAATTCGATCATAATTGTACCATTCACTAATTTCCCCAGTTTCGTGTTCACTGAATATTTGATATGGAAATTGGGTGATGCTGATGATTGTATATTTGAAAGTGGTAAAAAACTTACGATATACTCGTACCTTCCTTGGCGCAATTTGTAATCGCACTTTTATTTGGGACAAAACGAGGCTAGGGAGTTATTTTAAGCAGATGGCAATATGGCATGGGCGGGATAGACTATGTGAAGTAGGGCATAATTCAATTATCATTCGGCAAATTGGAGCAGAATGAATGTGCGACCCACAAACAATCAAACGATTAGGAGGTGGTGGTTGAAGAAGAGTCAGTAAGTTTTTAAATTATATTAAAACAACGATTAGGAGGTAGTGGTTGAAGAAGAGTCAATAAGTTTATCAATTCAGGGCCCGAAAGATAGATAAACTATCATTATAGGATCTGGATGATTTAACACTGATGGAGTATATCCCCGTACACCCTAGGGGTACCGCGATCGCTGGCAGAAAGCCTTGCGGGTCATCGGGGGCAAGAAAATACTAAGTCCGCACCTGGATCCGACCCCGACCGCCAAGGTCGGGAAACATCAGGCTCAGGAATCAAGTAAACTCAGCAGATAACAGGGTCCACCGACCCCGACCCCGACCTCGAAGTCGGGAAACATCGAGCTCAGGAGCCAACCAAACTCAGTGATCCATGAGCCCGACCTCGGGACATTCGAGGTCAGCATCAAATCTGACCTCAGAAGTCTTGCTCCAGGTCAACACCAATCAAAGCACCAGGCGACCAAGTCACCTCCAGAGCGAGGACGGGAGACAGCAAAACGAGTCCTCTCAACATGGGCCCGAGCCCCAAGATAGCGACCTCAGTAACCCTCGAGGTCGGGGGAAACCACCCTGTACTTAGGCGAAATCCGCAAGGGCTTAAGTCGTGAGGAAACATCGCCACATCACTCTCCGCACTGGTGGAATACGCCAGATTGTCTGCACACGACTACACGAGATCTCTGGCAGGAATTCTGTTACGAAGAATAAACCAATCAACCAAGCTATCAGAAGTTCTCTCTCCAATCAGCTTTCCACGTGGCTGCTCCCGGTTCATTCAGTCTGGTAGTTTGTTAGAGTAGCTTTACACGTGTCCCTCTGTTCTCTTCTTCTTTGGATTTTTTGGATTTTTATTAATTTGGATCTGTTGGATTTGAATTTTATTTATTCAGTAGTCAGGAAATTTGAGATTCAAAGTAATCAAAATTTATAACAAGATATTCAAGTTCAGATATATCTTCATTTGAAACTTTAAAAAATCAAAATTTTATTAAAAAATATGATTGATAAAAAAATAGAGAACTAGGAAGAAGAAGAAGAAGAAGAAGAGATTACATACCTTGTCGCTGATGAGTGCAGGGCTACGACATGGCTACAACAGACGGACTGCGGTGCAAGGCCACAATCGACGATGGTGATGAGTTCTACTATGGAGATTCAATGTTGCCGTCCATGGGAGGAAGGATCGCAACAGTTATGCATCGGTGATGTGGGTCTCTTTTTTAATTAAGGGTAGTTTTGTCAGATTACCTCTTTTTAGTCCTATTTTTGTCAAATATAGGAGTCATATTTTTGCAATTCTAACTTCTTTTAGTCCTATTTAGGCAAATCTCTCTTAGTTTTATTGAACTAATAAACTTTTGTAAAGACAAGTTTATCAAAAGCTAGCAATGTAATTAATAAAAAATTAAATAAATCAAAACCTATGAAATATTAGGTCCTAGATTGATAGTTTTCCATCATTTAAAATTCCTTTCCAAGTTCCAAAGAGTAGTTTTGCGCATCTTATGAAATGTATAATGATAGTCTCAGATAGAGGTAAAAGTCTAGGGGAGGGGGGGTGAATAGACTTTTAAAGCTTTTTCAACTTTAAAAACTTTTCCCTACTAGATGTGATGATCTATGATCTTTTGGGAGATTATAGATACGCAACGGAAGTCTTGACCTCTAAATAAACAGTGTATAATAACTTTCTATGTTTGAGTGGAGTTTTGGACTTATTTAAGTGAGCAGTTGACTGGGTGGCTGAGTGGACTGCAGGCAACTGCTGAGTCAGCTGCTAAGGAAAGATGAAAGTATGAGAAGCTAATTATAGAATCTTACTCAGAATGATGAGAGCTTTCTGGAAATGTGCTGAGCTGAGTTGAAGTGAAGGTTTATGAGAGCAGTTGAGTAATGAGAGCAGTGTCTGACCAGGGAACTGGTGAGGCACCTGCTGAGGCGCCTGCTGAGGCACCTGCTGGGGACGTTCGTCCACCTTCACACCTACGGGTTGAACTGATTTAATCCTCCCGGGGGCGTTCGTCCACCTTCAGACTGCACCTGCAGGTTAGGCCCTAAGGCCGTTCGTCCCCTTTACAATATCACAATTTAAAGGATGATTTTCAGAAATCTGATTGCACAAGCCTTTTTGTAATGATCTTGTAAGGCTCTTGTGATGTTGAGATGTCTCAAAGAAAGTAGAGATGGGCAGTGGGTCGAGCAGCAAGCTAAGATGAGGCAACTGCTGAGGCTACTGTTAATGAATTGCTTTCTCTCAATAAGAAGAGTTTGGTGTGTGCTTTGTTAACTGAAAGTAAATCAACACACTATGTATCCATGTTCAGAGGTGGTGTAATCCTCCTACGTCCAGTCCCACTCTTTCAGATGGATTTTCACTAAAGTATGAAGCCCAAACACACCACAAAAGCGACCTAGCTTGAAGGTGTTTCACAAAGAGTACACACCACTCCAAGGTACTTAGTCCTTAGGTTTTTCTCGATTGATCCAGTGGGGATCAAAAGGTACTCTATCCTATCTAACCACACTTAGGACTTGAACAACTGTGCTCCTAAGTGTTTACAACAATTTATGATAACCACAAGAAAATACAATTCCAACTAAAAACTAAACTTCCAGAATCTAGCAATGAAAAGCTCTAACTTGGAAGTTTAGTGAAGCATAAGTCTAAGTAGAGAGCAAAGTTAAACATGCACTTTCTCTTTTGCTAGATATCTCTTGAATGCTCAGTAAGATTTTCTCTACTTAGAAGACTCAAAAACTTACCTTAGAACTCATGCTTCTGCCCATATTTATAGGCTTCTCCAGTTTGATTGATCTCATCCATTGGTTAAGATGAGTCAATCTCTGACGTTGAACGTTTTGACCTTTGTCTTCTTGTGCTGGAGCAGATATTTGTGATTTCCTTTGTCTTCACTGATGAGCCGCTAAAAGATCACATCAGGATCAATTTGGTGATTCGTTATATGTGTCCCATGCTCGAGGCCCCATGTACGTTTTAGCATTAAATGCCTATCAAATTTTGTCTTCAATCATACACATCCAATGTATATGAACATTTTTGTGATGAGATTAATTTTTGTGTCAAATAAATTTATACTGGTAGGATTTGAATATCCTTTTAAGATAAATAAAATTTACCTTATTGCATTTTCAATTTCCATCATAATTTATTTGTCACAAAAATTGTACATTTGATTTTTGTGAAGACGTTCGTGCTTTGATGAAGGACTGTGTATTGGCGCCTGCCTGAAAATGAAGGACGGCGTTTGAGGACGTTCGTCTCCTGATGACGACGGCACTGATGAAGCTGTTCGTCATATAAAGAACCAATCTTTGACGCTGCCTTGAAGTTGAAGGATGGCGTTGGGGATGCTCATCCCCAGATGACAACAGCGCTGACCAAGCTTTGTCAAGCTGATGAACTCGTTCATCATATAGAGGACCAAGCTTTGAAGCTGGTCTGAAGTTGAAGGTGTTGGGGATGTTCGTCCCCAGATGATGATGGTACTTAAGTCGTTCATCATTTAGAGGACCAAGCTTTGAAGCTGGTCTGAAGTTGAAGGTGCTGGGGACGTTCATCCTCAGATGGCGATGGTACCTTTTTTGAATCTACCTTTTTTGAAAGGTGACTATCATTCGTTTACTTTTTTCTTATTCAAAAACAACCATATTTATGATCGTTAAGTCTCATTCGTCATGTTTACTTTATTGAATATTTATGATCCTGCCAATTGGGGAATCTAGATACCAAAACTAGAAACATTATCTTCTTGATGTTAAGTCTAGACATTTTAGCCCTTTGTCCTCGATATTACAAAAATGAAGATAAAAGACAAACAAGTGACATCTTTTTTATATTTTCAAAAATGTCACCAACTTCACAATTATAACCTGCAATGACAAAGTGCGTTCGGCCATAGTGACTCCGGGCACAGTGACCAAATTACCAACTATGTATTGACTTTCCCATCGCACGAATTAATGACTGCCGCCGCTCGGATTAGTGACTGCCGCCGCCCGGATTAATGACAGTCATCGCCCTATGGCCAGTGACTGAGGCTTGCCCCCAGTTGGTGTCGCCCCACCGGGCAGTGCATGTCGCCCACGCCCAACTACACCCCCAGTCATTGCCAGCCCTATTATAGTGACAACACCACCATCAGTGGCACTGCCACCACCATAGTGATGCCACACCACCGCCACCCATGTTCTTCCATAAACACCGCCCATGTCCTGGTCGTGGCCCCCCTCCCAAGCCATCACCACCCCTACCCCAACCCTGCAAATCAGACCCGTCACTGCCCACCAACCCTACCAGCATGTCCCTTAGCCCTACACACCAGCTCCCAAGCCTCCACCGGCCACCCGCACTCCCTATCCCCAGCCTTACCAGCTTGCTCGTAGCCCTACGCACCAACTCCCAAGCCCCCACCGGTCACACCCCACTCCCTATTCCCAGCCCCACCTCATGTCCTTCGCTGAGGCCCTATTTCGAAATTGACAACGGCGGATCCGACATCAGGAACCCCAAATCCGAGTCGTTGCACGTTGACGTTAGAGATCCGGCACCGGCGGCCCCAAATCAGAGTCGTTGTCCATCGAGGATGACAGATATGGCTAGACGTCTTTTGCAGAAATCAGCGCCGCGCTCGCCATTCCAAAAGGAACTGCGATGTGTTCCCCCAGAATCGTTGCCCCATCAATTTGAATGGAAGGAGAAGAAGGGAGATTTAGAAAATTTGACGGGGAGAATAACTTACTTGGTGTAGTCGCAGGCTGCTCTAGATGGATGTGGCTGCGGCGGGATGTGGCGGGATGCGGAAGGAATAGTACTTGACCGGTGGAGGCCTGATGAAGTCGACAAAATTGTATGGTGTCGTGGGGAGGCAATGGAGCGTCACGGCCACGTCATATTTTTGTAAAATATTAAAAGGGTCTTGTATTTGGAATCCAAAAGTCTATGACTCATACGTGGGTCATTATTCGGACATTTCAAATATTTATTACACTAGAAAAATGAAAAATAAGGAAAGTGAATTAAGCATAGAGGCCGTTTGGTAACAATGTTTCTCGGCTTATCAGGTTTATCAGCCAACTTTTTCACCAAACGCGTAATTTTTGCTTTCGCGCGCTGAATTGTGCAATAAGCAGAAAAAGTAAGGTTGGAGTTACTTTTCTGGCTGTATTGGCTGAAGTTAATGTAGATGACCATTTTAGCTATTTTTACATATAATTTTTTCTTTATTTTATTAATAAAATATATTTTAAATTTGTTTTTCTTAAATCAGCAGAATCAGCCAATGCAGCCACTTCAGCCAGAACTTCATAAATTTCAGCAGAATCAGCCAAAACAGCCGATTTTCGTGTTACCAAACAGGCTCATAATGTGTTACAAAAGCATAATCATAAAACTATTGTTGATAACTTCTCTTCACAATGCTCAACATACTTTGTTTGTTATTTTGAAACTTTGATTCTACTATATGAGTTAAGTGTTTTCGTTATTTTAAAGGTTTTGAAATATTATTATTAATATGCATGTTAGTTTAGACAAAAAAGAGTTTACATTTTTTTTAAAGATTAGGCCTAATTTAAATCATCCGTCACTAGGCTCAAACATATAGGACCGACCCGAATTAGAAACTAATAATGATCGCAATTAAAGTTACAAGATTGGATAATCCGATCTTTCATTATTATTAGACTCTGTAGGTCATGCATGTCGTTTAACATAAATAATATACGCCCTCCGGTTCCGAAAGATCTTTACACTTTCTTTTTTTAGTTCTACCAGAAAGATCTTTACACTTCCTTATTTGTCTTATTTGGCAAATAAATCTACACAAAACAGTGCCAAACAATGTTTATTTCCTTAAAAACCGTGAATTCAAAGTGTCAAGTTCTTTTGGAATCGGAGGGAGTAATAAGCAATGACATGAAGCAAAGAATTACAAAAAATTGAAAAACATGAAAACGAATGTTCTACTGAGTTGAGCACAAATGTTATACAAAAATGAACTGAAATATCAAGTCAAAACATTACCATAAAAATACTTGTAGTTAAAATACTTGAGGCATACTAGGGACTAGCATAGCATTTATATAAGTTTTGGCAGAAAAGTTTCTTACCTTTTACACCATAAATGGCTAGGCTACGAGTTAAAATAGGGAGTTTCCTAGTAAATAGGTAAACTGCTACATATATAGTTGAAATTCTTGAAACATGCAATTACGTGTGTCGTCTTACAGTTTAGGACAGAAATGAATTGGCTATAAATTGAAGGATATTAGAAAATGGATGGGCTGCTGTAGAGTTGTAATTCTTCAAACCATTATGGTGGCTTTTAACATATAATATGGTAGGGTAAGGTACACAACCAAAAGAGAGTTTTTTTGTCGTTCTTTTAATCTCATAAAAATATATGGTATGGTGTACATCACGGATACACCCACCGCCTGTTAAGTATCAATCTGATATTGGATGAGGCTAGGTTAGTGACCAAGCAATTTGGGGATTTGCTTTTGGTCCCATGACCTCATGACCATAGATAACCCGACACTTAAACTTTCGTTCTCAATCTTAAACTGACACATTCATTTTTCGAAGGAGGGGCGTACTGAAGGCTAAGAATTATTCTGTATTTGCTCAAAATATAATAAAAACAATAACAACGTAATACATTAGTACAAATTAGTTCATTACATATTGCTCGACTCATATCTATAATCTGGGTAGATCAATCATATGAGTTTTAATTTTTTCAAAATGTTGTATAATAACTTCATGATGGGAAAATATGACCCCCAACATTCTTCGGGATCACGAGCTCATAGACTATTGTACACTTATCCACACACTCAATACAAACACTCAATACAAACACTCAATCTGACAATATCTCACTTTGTATTACCCTCACTCACTCTTTGTATCTGAGACTACTTCACTCTACCTAAATCAATCACATATATTTCATCAAGTGATATCTTTGAGCCTTCTTCTCTCGATCACAAGAAGACTCTCACTTATTTCTATGAAGGAGACTCACTTTCACTCACTCAAGAAGACTCTCACTCTTTTCTATGAAGGAGACTCACTTTCACTCACTCGAGAGCTCTGCCCAAGGTTCTCAAGGTTTTTTTTATAAAGAACTCCTCAATTTAGAGAACTCCACAATTCTTCAAAATGTTCTAGAGGTTTCCACACACTTCCACACGATTTTAGTGAGTTCCACACTTAAACTCCACATTAATATCTTAGAACATCCAATACTTCTCTACACACGTATAGAGAATCTTAGACATCTCTAAAAATTCTAAAATTCTCATGAATTTTTCCACTAAGGAGGCAATCCAACACAGTCTCGAAAATGTTTTGATCTTTTTCTTGCAAGAAATGTAACAACATATTCGTCAATCTCAATACTTTCTTGCTCACTATAATCACAAAAAGCGCGCCAATCCATGTGTCATTAAAGGTTAAAACAGTCCACACTTTCATTCAAATGAGTGTGGTATGTGGATCCAATACTTGTATTCCTAGAGACACATACGTTTGATGAAATATTTTGCCTTTGATTTTAACACTTAATCTTAATTGATATTTATTTTTGAAAAAAGAAGGGGTGGCATTAAATATATAATTAGTAGTACTAATTTTTTTTGTCCGAAGAAGGGCCGGCCTCTTCCTCGTTCTCTTTTATGAGGTTTAATCCCCGAAGGAAGGAGGGCTGACCTCTTGTTTGTTTCTATGAGGTTTGATCCCTAAATGATGGAGAGATGGTCTGTTCCGGTTTGTTTTTATGAAGCTTGACGCCCAAAGTAAGAAGGGCCGACCTCTTCCATTTTACGAATAGTTTTATGTAATCATATATGACTCCCTTATTGAGGCATATATGTTATCGGCATCATCACAGTCATTCATTGTCTAACTGTGGACCCCAATAAAACAATGGGTGGATGTGATGTCATCATACACGACCCTAGAGTCGTACATGCTCTTTAATTTTTTTTATCCTTCTACCATTGATGATGATAGAGAAGAATTCAGTACATTAAAGGTGAATGATATGGTATGTTGTCTTATGAAGTTTAGATTAAATCATTTCAATTATGAATATTATTAATATTCAATTGTCATCAGAATTGAAATATATGACATCAGCCGCATATGGAAACTTTTAGTGAGCAAAAAATGTAAAGATCCTTCAAATGAGTGATCCGGTATCATCACAAATGACAAAAATGAATAAAATTCTTGTGTGCGATATAACATTTTAGACATGTCTTGAACAATGTTCTCAACACGTAATGAGTTGACCTCAAATAACTCTTCTTAAGATAGTAAAATTTTTGTTTCCCAGTGCTGATCCCGTAACCAAACTATCCCACCCAATTCCAATTTGGTCCCGGTTTGTACCGTCCTTGGGACCGGGACCTCGTCCACCCCTAATATGAGCATTGAGTCGCTCCAAAGTAAATATCAATTAAAACTAAAAATGTAGATGGTTTTCAATCGAGTGCTATAAGTTAAGGGGAGCTGGAGCAGCTGCTCAGAAAACTACAGTACCAAGCTCCTTAATGAAGTGAGAGAAAGATGAGTGTAAATACAACAATCAACAATCGTATACACAACATAAGGAAAAACTACGGGGTACAATACAATAGCAATGAGAAAGGTAGGGAAGAAACGTCATCAATAAGTTGTGTGTTGTTGAGACCCGGAACCGGCCCGGGTAGCTATCGGGTCCGGGTCGGGCCCTAGCCGGGTCGGCTCGGGTACTTTTTGTTTTTTTCTAATGACTTCCTACCCCCCCCCCACACCCCAAACCCCTCCAAAACACCCAACCCAACACATTTACCTCCCAAAGAAATTGAAAAACAAAAAAAATGGCTCGACCCGGTCCGGCCCGAAAAACAGTGGTTCAAGTATATTGCACCCGGGCCGCGAGTCGGGCCGGTTTGTAACAGTGTCGGGCCGGGCCGGTTTGTAACAGTGTCGGGTCGGGCCGGTTACGGGCCGGTTGACCCGGCTCGAATCCACCCCTAGTTGCGTCATCAACAACAACAGGAATACAATAAAGTCTAATTATAACATGACACAAAATATTGGATGTGAATCTCAAACTAAGAATTCATCTCCATCTCAACATCTTTAAAAATCATGGTTCAAAGCCTTGATCACAATTGATATACACATTGACATAGGGATGAACCCGGGCCGGGCCTCGGGTTGGGTCTGACCGGGCTTTTTTATGTTGGGTAAAGGCCCGGAACTGACCCGGGATTCTACTGGGCCGGGTCGGGTACCTTATTTGTTTTTGCTTTTCTAATTACTTCGTACCCCCACCTACCTCCACACCCCAAACCCCTTCAAAACACCCAGCCTAACCCATATTTACCTCCCAAAGATTTTGAAAAAGGCCCATGTCGGTACCAAAGAACCCCAAACCCGTGTCACGGTCCAAAACCCCCCGCTTCGGGCCCTATGCCCGGGCACAGACCCAATTAGCGGGCCGGGCCGATTCCAAATAGTACCGGTTCGGGCCAGTTGACCCGGCCTAGGTCCATCCATACATTGATATATTTTCAATACACAATTTAGTGATCGAATACCGCATACGCTCTTTCTTTCAAAGACATAAAGGTCATTGAAAATGTTGAATATTTAGACATTTTTTTAGAATTCAGAACCTCACAAACACACAGCATGACATGCCTATTGTGATCCGCAAACAAAAAAACACGATGATAAAAGTCTAAAATAGAACCATGTCAGAAAACATGCTTAAAAAGTACAATAAGGAATATGGCAGCTGAAATGATTATGTTGACAGAGTAAAATTATGGTGCCACATCATCACGAAAATCAATTGATTAGTGATACTCCAAAAATGAACCAAGACTAACTAAAGTAGCTATACCTATATGCAATGAAAAATTCAAACAACAATACATGCATTTCACACATTGCATTCATTTACCATCTTCCTTGTGAAATTATCACGGACGTGCTTTGAGAGAGAGAGCTAGCTTTTGAAGTAATCATCTTGTTATAAATTTGGGATTCAAAATGTTGCTCGTAAATTGGTCATAATATGAATTGTAGCAGCTCAAAGTTGGCAAGAACATTTCATAGATCTTTCTTATGCCGCAAACAACCATATGCAAATTTATGTTAAATC